GCTCGACGGATGACGTCATTTAAAGCGGCATGGCGCGGAATGCGTCCTGCACTGCGACGACATGCTAAACCGTGATGACCAAGAGGATCGACGTCTACCCCACAACGACAGCGATGGGGTTCGTTCGTTATTAAATATTAAAATATTGAGCTGATATCTTGAAAGTCATTGATGTATATGTACTTGCATATATTTAAAATTAAGTTATGTAGAAATATAATAAATAATGTACAAAAATATAAAAATATTTTGTTTTTATTTCCCCAATAATAATAGGATCATTTTAATAGAGGTATTTCATAGAAGGCTACTTGATATCGGCTCACTATAATAATAACTGATAAGTGGGTGTATTATTTTTGAACATTGATTTAATGTCAATTTTAATTTCATAAATTAGATTCCCACTTATCAGTTATTATTATAGTGAGCTAAATAAGCGTGCCTACGTATATAGATACCAAAAAAAAAAAAATTAGTTCAGCGATTATACGCATGGAGCGCCACAATCGCCGTGGATCCACGACTTCGTGCGAGTTGCCCCTCTTTCTATAGTATACTTATTATACTCTTTGGACATTTGATTTCCAAATAAGATATGACCTAAAGGTCTATATTACCAGGTCATAAAATTAAAAAAAAAAGACATTTGATTTGTTTTATCTTATTGACTTATTTTATCGAAGAAATGAAAACCTTTTATAAGATACAAGCACATGGTTTATAATTTAGTCACATAACTAGTGTATTTCTACATAAATAAGTAAACTGTGAATTAGAGCACAAGTATTCCTTACCTTGCTATATATCTAACAACATATACTGGGTCATATACCCTGTAGTTATAAATATGGAGTTTTTCGAAAAAGCTCACATACCAATAAGTGATGATTCCAAAAAAGACAAAAAACCAGATGAAAAAATAAAGAAACAACTAAAGCAAATGTTATATGGATACAAGAAAAGTGACAATGAGCTTATTAGAAAGTCGGAAAACGTAGAGGAATCGGATTCCACTTCAGTTAGCGGCTTTTCTGATTTAAACATTTCAAACGCTACTTCAGATAATGACACTACGAGAGCTACATTGGACAGTAGTGATCTAGATTCTATATCTAATTTAGTTGACAGTAATGAGGCTTCATTAATTGAAGGTACATATTCGCCAGTTAGAGACGTGAGTGAAGATTTATCCAATTCTAAAAGTGAAAGAGAATCTGAAATGAATGAAGAGAGTGACTCAGTTTTTACCTTCGGTTCTAATGTTAGTACTACTGAGACCAAATCTGATACTGAAAGTTCAACTCAATTTGATTCTGATGGAGTATTGGCTCAAAAAATTCACGATAGGCTAAATACAGTCAAATTTCCGCATGAAAAATTAAAAAGAAAGAGGATTGATAATAACAAGCACTCAATAATCTCAGCCTGTGAAGAAGAATTAATTGAACCGAAAATATCAAAAAAAGAAGATTCTCTTGCATTCACATGTGAAAATATGCAGTTCTCAGATTATTCAGATTTTCAAAGCAATGTCAATAAAGGCAGCGTCACATACACAGTCAAGCCAACCTCAACATTTGTGTCTATTACATCTAAAAATGCTAAAACTGAAAACTTTGATGATATTATGGGGCATTATAGAAATGCTATTTTTCAAAATATTAGTAATGAACGTCACAATGTAACACTTTCTCCTTTTAACATTTTGGAAGATGGTAATGATGATATACAAGTTGATAGTTCAATATCTGAATTGGGGGTAGAAGTAAATGTTAAGGATAGTGACATGACACAATCTACATCTGGGTCAGATGTTCAGAATGATGATGTGAACAATGATACAAATAATTCCCAAACAACAGAAGAAGATGTTACTTCCGATGATGTGGTATGCTCAACAGAAAACTATAAAATATATTATGGTTACGATTCTGTTATTATAGTTTTGAAACATCCTTCAGAATTGTTCATTCATGGTAAAGTTATTGTAAGCAAATTAGGAGGACTTGCTCAAATATATGGATGTAATTTAAAAAATACACCTTACTATGTGTATGCTCCATTTTACAATTTTGCTCACTGTGTCCGGACAATAGAGGGTTCAAATTATTGTACCGGATTGTTTGGCAATTTAACTTCAAAAGGAGTTTCCATCCCCGATGCTGAAGAAATTGTTACTAAAATGGGCACAAATGATGTAGTGTTAGCTTTTGAAAAATTGTTCACTTCAAAACAGGAATTTTTAGAACATAACTTCAAGGCTTGCAACTTGTTTCGTAAAACAGCAGAAAATGTTCCGTTGAACTTTAAAAGAGCCTCCGAGATGCTGGGATGTTGTTTGTATCCAGAACAGCCTTATAAACATTTTGAAGAAAATCCAAAATGGGAACTAGCAGCTAAAGCTGGTATAAATATTCTCTTATCACATGTTTCCAAGACCTGCACAAAAACATATTGTTATCTCTGTTTTCTAAAGAAAACGAGAAAGTTGACATGTTTTTGTACATGTTTAATCACTGAAAACTCATACATAATATATGTTGAATAATTGTTGTATTATAGTCAATGATCACTTCATTGTCAATCAAAATATTTATTTCTAATTTTGCTAATCAGTTTCATAAAACTTATTCCAGGCGCAGTAAATAAAAATATTAGTATGGTTTGTGGAGGTAAAGGTAGTGGGAAGTCGACATTCCTTCGCTACTATGTGAACTGGCAGATATCTTACAATGATGGGCCCATACTCGTTATAGATTTGGATCCGGGACAATGTGAATTCACTATAGCAGGCAGTATATCTGCAACGGTTGTCTTAGAAACAGAGCCTCTCCTAGGACCTAATTTTACACATCTCAAAAAGCCTAATATGTAAGTTTTTTAGTAATGCATATGTTGCAAATTGAGAAATCAATTTTTTTTTTATTAATTTTACTTAATACAAATCTGTTATTGACTATAAATGTGTATAGTTGTGACAAATTTTTAAATTTATAAATGAAAAAAAAATGAGGGTATTACTACTATGTGAGAACTCTGAACTAATAGATTTTCATACTACCCACTTCTTATTCTGTTCTATCTTTTCAGAATGCTGAACATTGGAATGATAAGCGCTATGGATAATCCGAAGCGCTATTTAAATGCTGTAGATCAGCTGATTGCCGAATGTAAAGACAATGATTTTATGAGCAGTATACCTTGGATTGTCAACACAATGGGTATGTGCAATGCCCTCGGTTTGAAATTCATCACTTACATTATACAACGCATTCAACCGACATTACTACTGCAAATAGAATTACAGAATACGAAGAAAAATTTCCCTTATCATTTGACAATACAAAAAGTTGAAGAATTATATGAGCAATATAAATACGATAGATTATTTGCTAATCTACCACGACAGAATGAATTGTCGTACACACATGTAGTAACTGAAGCAGTGACATTCCGTACGAATACTAACTCTGATAGTACGTCTTTAGCTGCAAGAGATCAGAGGTATCTTAATTTCTTATCTTATTTTGGACAAATTGCTGATTACTCATCATCACTGCTAAACGTCACCCCATATTCGTAAGTATTGATTTTTTTTCTAAAGTTACTTTTTTTTCAATGACACAATTGTTACATTTGATAAAAAGACTTGTTTAATTAGTGTTTAAAATTAAATATAGCATCTGTAAATATTTAATTTTTTTTTTGTTTTTAAAACATTGTATTGTAGGTAACTTGGTAAAAGCTCATTAATTTATTTCTATTACAGAGTTAGTTTACAAGATCTATATATCGCGACAAATATCAGAATTAATAGAGACTCAATTACCAAAGTGCTGAATGGGAAAGTGGTGGCACTCTGCAAACACACCGATAAGACTGCCAAGGTGTTTACACTGACAGATAAGCCTCTACTCTGTTATGGACATGGTAAGAAACTATTTATAGACTATACTATAAAGTCTTTGCTTTAATTTTGCGATTAGTATAAGGCAGAGCGCTATTTATTCCATAATAAGTAATAAATAATTAAATTTCCACACCAGCAAAGTCACTAACTATCCCTAGGAAAATTCCGTGTACAATATATATGGAATGACATTTCACGCGCAATATAGGATACCGTCATATAAGTACATAAGTGGTACAGTTCTTTTCAAATATCTTCGCGGCTCGAGGTCATCGGCGAGCTGCGCAGTGCCCTCTCTCTATTGCCCCGCTACAATTGAAATTGTGTTCCGCGCAGCGACTCGCGCGAAGTTAAGGGCCGTTAAAATATCTGAAAACTACTGTACGTGTAACTACATAGAAAAGTTGTATGTATGTAGAAGCGAGAGATGTTAATGGTAGTAACGCTAATAAAAAAATAACATTTCAGGACTTATTCGTGGTATTGAAAATGACATTTTGTATGTAATCACTCCAGTATCAGCTAAATGTCTATCTTCAATCAACACTATCCTTTACGCGGACTGGATGCCGGAATTAAGAGGTCAGGAGAAATTTCTCCCAGAAGGGACAATGGTGCCTTACAGAATGCTCAGTCAGTACGATCAGAGACAACTCATTTCAGCACCACGAAGAAGATTTAACCCAATACAACTATTAAAAATGTCAAGACACAAGTAACTTTGAAATTGAACATTCAGTTGACTCTTATGTTTGTTGTGGTGGTTTTGTATAAAGAATCTTGTGTAATTGTCGAAAATATATGTTGTACGTAACTCTAATTTAGTTTTCTTTTAATGTTTGAATATGCACAAACAAAACATACATTTATTTTCACTACTTTTTTTCCAATCTTACCTTCGATCACAATAACCTTTTTACCCCCACCGCTTTTTATCACGTCCCTTTTCACCAAATAACATTTACCATCTTTCAATAATTCTAACTGCTACACCAACTTGTATAATATATTGAATGTTCTCCACATTCGGCTATATAATTTTATCAAAATTGTTTTGTTTTTTAACAAACTTGTTACGCACTTATATTTTTGCATTGCATACAGTTTTGAAGCGGATATCCTTAATTCTGAAAGCACTCGCTAACTCCTAATACCACTGGCTCATTTCGCGTCCTGCATATTGATTTGAGAATGAATGCGCTATTGAGTCTATTATGCACTTTCAAACTTCTATCATACTGTTGTTATACTTAAGAAAAATGTACAACTTTTCGCTTTTGTTAACGTTCAATTTTTATTAAATATGCGAAGTACAGATTAACCAAAATATAAGATTATCTCTACCCAATGAATATCAAATTTTCTTGTCAAGTTTACATTTCTTGAGCGAAAGCAAAACGATTCTTGTATTTTTTACAAAACATTGTTTTCTATTTTAATTATAAAAGCGAAATTAATTAATGTGTTCTATATAATTGTAATTTATTGTAACGGAATGCATCGCTTGGGAAATTATAAAGTAGTGCTATTCCCCTTGAGCGTAACTAAAAAAATATAACGTATGAGTACTTAACTAATTAATTCTGTAGGATGGGCGTCGCCGGGGGATTAAAAAATGTAAAATAGATATCAAAACTACTTCGAACAAGACCATAACAATAGTAGCTGCTCCACCTAGAACTAGCCTAGACTGGCTGGCGACTCACGTGTTTTGTAGCAAAATATTTTCATTAAAAGTAATAGAAACATCTTGGGTTTTCTTTTCCGAAAACTCATTTTGAACTTGATCCCAACTAATTAGAGTAATATTGTCTTTAAATCTTAGTATATTGCAGACCTAAATTAAAAATAGAGCAAACGTAAAAATGTCCAATTCAATCAGCTGAGTTTGATGTTTACATGAAAATAAATATAGCACGTATCTCGCATGGTACGTTTTTGTATATGTAATGACGCATCACGGCTCAATGATGTCATGGGGCTGTGGAGGACAGCTAGGATACACTGACATCACTCGCAAACGTAGCTTCATTGTATTTACCTATTTGAAGGCACATCTAGCAACAAACATTGCATTGATTTAAGATTTTCATAGAACGATGCGAAAGCGATTATATAATAAACCATAAGACATATCTCAGAACATATCGAGGTTCCGATCCTTTTTATTTTTTTAATATACTACTACTGACAGAAATAACATTAATTAAAGTTGTACTAGACATATAGAAGACCGTTAAGTAGCAAATTAGCGTTGCATTAAGACGTTTACAATCTTACTATAAGCTCTATATTGCATACTTATGAGACCGTTGCAACGCGGCACCCCTCTACCCGTAATGGAAACATGACCGTTATGAATACGCGTATTTAATTTGTCCAACGTAATGATTCTGTTGGTCACACGCGGCATCAAGCGACGCCGAATTATCATTGTACGTTTATTTTCCAGATGACTAACGACAACATAACACTCTCGGCTCCTTGAATTGAATGAGTCATGATACTGCACGACTAGACCCGAACCCCGCGGTTATCATAAATTATGAATTGCTCCGAGAATAAATGAATCAATGTATTTGTTACTGGTTTCCACTGTCGACACCACATCGTATTGCTTTAATCATATATGAAAAAACAGAGATCACGACGTACGGGAGCTTCGACAATGGATACGCACGGTTACACTAGTAGTTAGGGAAATATATTTTTAAGATGTAGGAGTATTCACTTCTGTTGAATTAAGAAGGCAAAGCCGGAACGGAGCTGGCTAATCTGATCCTTTACCTTTTTGCAATAATTAAATAGTTTTACAAAACATGAGACTGATATGTGACGAAGTCAAAATTTATTTCAGATGCCAAAAATGTGAAGTCCATATTAATTTGATTAGGACCGAAATTAGAGTTAAAACTTGCTGCTATATTTAAATCCGTAAACATAACTGTTCAAACTTACCAATTGCAGTGACTAACAGATTTGACTATAACAAAATTAACAAAGAAACAATAACTAAGGCACTGAATGGAAAGTGCTGGCAGTCTGTAAACAGACTGATAAAATTGCAAAGGTGTTTACCTACACAGATAAACTAGTGCTATTTTATGAACATTGTAAAATTTTTTAATAAATTAATTATTGATAATTTAGGCAGATTATTCAGTTCACTTACACTCAAGAAGCTATAAATGACCTGTAGGCATCCCTTAGCGTAGATTTAGTATAACTTATCTAAGACAAATTCTTAAGGAACCATTGCAACCACTCTTGTGAATAGTTAAATCATATACTATCTCTGTCTTATGAATAGAGTTATGGAGATCCCAAAGATGTAACTCTATTCTTCGGAGAGGTTAATCAAGTGACTCTAGATGCTAGTTCTACTTATAAAGTAACATATTTTCTCTATTGTCACTTTTAAACTCTTTGTGTAAAGTACTAAATGAGTCAATGATGATGTAATTGTGAACAAAGTACATCATTAAACTCATATTTGTGTTATCATTCAAAGTGCTATAATATATAGTTGATTAAACTGATAAGTTAGAGTATCATGTTCATTTATATGCATTTCAAGGTTTGTCCATTGTATTGAGAAAGGTGTCAAGTTTAAAATTATACAAACATTGTTCAAATGCCTTCTTTAAGCTAATTTCACATTGGAATTGATGGCGAACAACCTCCTCGTGCACTAAATCTTCAGTTATTATCAGGGCATTTTGTTTAATAATTTGCAGGAGATTTAACCTATTTTTACTATGGATGTTGTCAAGGAATTCCTTGAAATTGAAAGTTCAATTAATTGTTAATAAATTTGTAATTGGAATAGTTCCAAAATATATTATTATAAATTATAAAAGGAAGTCTAATTATTTAGTGTTAATCCATGTATATTTGAAGATAATTTTGTACTTACAATACTAGTAAAACATAACATAAATGATTGATTTCAACTTAAATATTTTCCCCATTGATACCTTTGATTTATAAATGCTGTATTAAATTTTTATAAAAGTCAAAAAGTCTAGAAAAGAATAGTTAAAACATGGGGTTCCTTTATTACTAATAAATTATATTAGCATGCAATGTAATCATTTGGAAGATAAAATTTTACACAAACAATAGATTACAATAAAACTGCCATAATTAAATAAGAGATGGACGTGGCCGAGACACGCCCGACCTGGCCGACAGGCACTTGCTGAGTCAGATTGGGGCTCGTGCTCCATGTCAAATAAACATCCTACAATTTATACATCACTATTTTATTGAAAAATTAAAATACAAAATACCGAATTTAAGTCTCGGTGATATCGGTCCAGGCTAAATCTATATCCTGAGGAAATGCTATTCGATTATATAACATGATAATATAGCACTAAAAATTCCAGTTGGCGCACCGGGGCAGGAGCTCCCCATGGCTCGCTCGCCCCAGGGGCATCTGTTAAGGCAATTACGCTTACTCTTTATAGATATTCTATAAAATATACAAGTACCAATTGTGAAAGTATAGCCACACGAATACTGAGTGGATGTGCGTGCTGCGCGGGCCGCCGCTGGCGTCAGCTGTCAGTATCGGAAGGAAGCACTGTGTGGCCGGCGTCGCCACTGCTGCACAGTTCGAGTCGTTTCAAACGTAAGTTTACAGGCAGTATGCGAACAATTCATAAATCAGAGTCCCTCCGACAACAGCACAATTACAGCAGAGAACACCTGGTCTTCTTCTTCTTCTTGACTTGTAACGCGGCACGGGTCGCCGTTTCGAACACCTCGCGAACACCCTCCTTGCTCTTAGCGGAACACTCGAGATACGCGAACGCGTTGATCTTCTCGGCCATGGCACGGCCTTCCTGCGGCTTCACCGGCTCCTGCTTCATCTTGCGAAGCTCGTTGATGGTGGCCGGGTCATTGCGCAGATCCTTCTTGTTACCCACCAGGATAATAGGCACGTTCGGGCAGAAGTGCTTCACTTCGGGTGTCCACTTCTCTGGGATATTTTCAAGAGAATCGGGGGAATCTACCGAGAAACACATCAGGATAACATCGGTGTCTGGGTACGAGAGAGGGCGCAATCGGTCGTAATCCTCTTGGCCTGCCGTATCCCACAATGCGAGCTCCACTTGTTTGCCATCCACTTCTATGTCGGCGACGTAATTCTCAAATACTGTCGGCACATACACTTCCGGAAACTGATCCTTGCTGAACACGATCAAGAGGCATGTTTTACCGCACGCACCGTCACCGACAATCACTAGTTTTTTGCGTATCGCAGCCATCGGTCCTGTGAAACAATACAACGCAAATAATTATGATGAGCGTCAACGCCTTTCATGACTTATAAATATGGCGGCCGTATAGGAATATGGGAAGGGAGTAGTCAGACAGCCCTCAAATGTGAATAAGCACCTGAACTAGCGGAAGAAGAACAGCACCACCACATAGTACCCTCACATGCGAGGATGGTTATTTAGTATATTTTGTAGATACCTGAAGATTCTGGCTAATTTCTGCAGAATATTGACCTATCGACACTTTTTTAATCGTCTTTGCACATCACAAGCGGTGTTGCCGCATGTAACAAAACTAATAATTTCCATTGCTGTGTGAAAAACTTTATCCAATCTACTTGCTTCTGTATTGCAATTTAAAAACATTTTATTTCCTTAACAATAAAACAGCTGTTTTATGATTTTATTGAAATCTGATAAAAATGTTCATATATAAATGTATTGGGAAATGATTTTTTTATTACAGACGAAAATTATTATTTACTGACAATTTTTTGATCGGTTATATGGGATTATTTATTTGCAGTTTCCCTTAGATAGTTGTTTTTCGAGTCGTCTAATTATTAAAATCTTATGTAATACATACGTTTAATTTGTATAGTTGCCAACCAATATTAAAAGCAATGTTGTGTTAACTATATACAAGTTTAGCAAAAAAAATTAAGTTTTAAATAGCAAAACAACATAATTACCGGAATAAATAGATGTTATTGAATATCCTTTTAATTTGAAATAGCTAGATATTTAAATATTACTCAAAGATAAACTTGAAACTACGTTTAAAATTCGTTTCTTGTGGTTTATCATTTAGTTGCCAGTGGGTAAAATTGTAAACAACATAGATAAAGCTAAGACACTTGTTGCTAAATAAAGATAAAAAATTACTATATTTTAGAAATATTAATCCTTTTCATATTTATAAAATTACTAGTTGTCGCCGGCGACACCATACGCGCGGAATTAAAAAAAAAATAGTAGCCTATGTGTTCTTCCAGACTATGTTCTACATATATATTTGCTAAATTTCAGCGTGATACATGCCGTTGTTCTAGAGATACCTTCAAACGAATATCCATCCATCTACACATTTGCATTTAAAGTACCTATTAGTAAGATGGGCATTAAAGTTATGTTTTAAAGAATAATTATAATATTTTAAGATTTAAAAATACTGTTAAAATATCTAAAAGCTAAGCCTTGTATCTATTCTATGTTACTGAAGAACGTTTAAGCATAATTAACATATCACTACGTATTAAAACGAATCTAGGATTTGATTTTCGTGTCAATATCTTTACTTTATTTATTGAAGACCAGCTATCGCCTGCGAGTCTGTCCACGCCAATTTAAGAAAAAATAAAATAATGAGTAGCCTATGTAAGAACACACTACACATTAGACTATTTTCAACATCTTTGCTAAATTTCATCAAGATCCGTTCCGGAGATACCTTCAAACAAACATCCATCCATCCGTCTAAACATTCACATTTATTATATAACATGTATAGTATATATAATTAAGAAAGATATTTCATGTTCACTAATAGAATAGAAAAGTACTGATTTTTAGCGAAAGATGGCGTAATTCCTATGACCAACGTAATTCGTAAAAGTTGAAATAATACACAATCTCTTTTAATATGTTTTATTAACATTCATATGCAGTTTTCACTTAAAACTAAAGTTCCAACAAAAGAATAGTAACATATATTGCTTTATATAATGTAAATATTTTAAAATTTTGATTTAACTCTCTAGATTACAAAAATATATTTATTAAAAATTTGTACGAAAAACAACTTATTTTTTTTATAAGACGTACATAACTAAGGCAGTGAAAATGAATGGTTTAAATATAATTATTCCATTATCTTTAATATGCTTCAAGTTTAAGAAAAAAAAAAACGGCATAACATTATATTTCAAGTATGGATGATTCAACATTAGAAAACTATGGTTACATTTTTACGAGAATTTGTTTTCAAAATTTCTTCTACCTTAGCCATTATACGTTTGAAATAAACCAAGCACCAGTCTTAACAATATATGTATATCACAATAGGGTAGTGGCAAGCTCTGCTCAGATATATATTCAATTATATAGCATATATTATTCTTATAATTCTTAAAAGAATCCCCGATAAAAACAGTAAATGCAAAGAATTAAAAGTTAAATAATAAAAATCATAAAAAAAACAAATGTGTATGTTCATATTGATATGTTAATATTGCCATCAATACCTTATTTGTATAAAAAATAAAGTTAAAAAAAAATTAATAAATCAGTCGTAGCTTTTTATTGATTTTCCGAAGCCATCTGTAACAATAAAAATAAAAAAGTGAATTAACATAAAAAACAAAATGTGTACAAAAACATAATTAAAAAAAAACTTAGTTAAAACAATTAAGACTATAGCGAAAATCAAATTGTAATATTCGTTTGAAATAAATAAATTTTCCACAACGTATAATTATTTATGCCTGTTATTTTTTTATTACTTATGTGTATGATTAATTGCTAAGAATTTTTTGTAGGCGCCTTTGTTTTTTTCAGTGGGTGTCTTTCTTAATGTTTATTAACTATTAAACCACTTGCACGAAAATCTTAAAAATCAATATACTAACGTACCTTTAAATTACAATTTGATAATGTAAAAATAAAACAAATTATTACTGCATTAAAGGATGTATTTGTCAAACATCGATCTGTTTTGTGACTTCGTTTACATTATTAAGTGTGTTTACACGAATTATAAGTTAAGGAAAAAAAAGAATAGAAATTGGACAATACTGATCTGTTTCATGGCACTTATAAGAAATATATCAAGCTAGAGTAGACTAAAAATGTTTTTTTTTTTAAATACGCGGTGGCCGTTTTGCGGATAAAGCTCATATGATTACTTATAACATATATTAGTGATATTATTAAACATTTTGTGAGATAAATTTCACTTCTTTACCTTCTGCCAGGTGAAGACACCATAAGATATGCCAGCTCCGAGTACAAACGTCAGCAAGTAGGGCAAAAACTTAAAGGAGGGTAACGACCTCTTTGCCATCAACATTGTTATTCCATTCAGCTTCTTATCTGTGTAGGGCGGGTAACGTAATCTGTTGGAAAAATTAACGGTAAATTGTCACTGCATATATTTGTACAAAAACATCATGAATATTTTGTACTAGTGATTATGCCATGAAAGTCAACGTCAATTTTTTTAATGACCTTCGTAACATTTTACATTATGTTCTTAATTTAACTTCGATATAAATTTTTTTATTAATACGCCATCTTAAGACAGTGCCAGGACAGACAGTAAATTAAGAAATCTATAAAAGTCTTGAAAACAATTACCTCATATTTTTTTGTACAATTCGAAAAATCTTTTGTCTAGAATATATTAAGTGATTATGGAATTAATATAATAAATCTTACGATCCAAGTTTCTCTCCGATGGGTGAGAAATTTTTAACGAGGCAACTCTTTTTGTGCGTGAAGGTATCGAATGTCGTCTTGCCATGGTAAGCGCCGATACCACTGCTGCCAACACCGCCGAATGGTAACGTGTCAACTGTACATATATTTAAATAAGATACATTATAAGGATATAAAAAATAAAATAAAATATTGGTTCAATTAAAATGGCTTGTTATATGCATTATAAGAGTGAGTTTCCACTGTAGAAAGCATTGAATTAAATTAAAATATAATTCTTATTAATATCATAATATCACCCTTAACTTAGGGTAGGGTAGGTTCAGTGGAGACGTATTGAGAGCTGTTGATGATGATGAATAATATCATAAATATGAAAGTTAAGATGGATGGATGTTTGTTACAACATATTTCCAGACCGGCTCAACAGATTCGACGAAATTTGGCATAGATGTAGAACATAGTCTGAAAGAACACATAGCCTATTAACTAGGTCTTTTTAAAACTGCGCGGATTGAGACGCGGGCGACTGCTAGTAATATTTGACTTTAATTATTAGTAAATTTAAGCCATTTTAAATCAACCAATCGACTGTTTTACACACGCAAAATATCTCACAATACACCATACACAAATTGAAATTCAAAGTAATTTATTTGAATCCAAAAAAAATTAAATAATTACAATCGTTAACAAACAAAAGTCAAATTGAAATGTATTTATTTTATCCTATATCTATGTTTGTTACCTCACAACTCCTGAACAACTTATTTAATCTGGATGAAATTTAGAACGGTACTAGATTACAGTGTGGAATAGGCAAAAGGTATATAATAGATTAAGTTTTTTTTAAGTTATGCGCATACGGCGCTACTTAAAAATGTTCCCATATAAATGTGTTTGGTATTTTGTCAGATATATTAATTTATTTGAAATATGATTATTTATTTCATACAGAAATAAAGCAAAAATGTGAATTGGAATTCAGTTAGATAAAAAAATAATGTACAAAAGATTCAAGTAGTATTAGCAAGCAGTTATATATACATAAAATTAATCATTACCGTGCATGTTATAGCTTACATTGTCAAGTCTAATTGGTCAATATTTTTTTCTATCGAAATTGGGTAAAAATGCCGTGTACTGTAGCCACTAAAGTTAAATATTAACGCCCTTAGCATTAGCACATGCTAAAGCAGTATAAGACTTAAAATAAAAAATAAAAGTTTTTAATATGGTTCGTAAAATCATTGGGCGGAGGCCAGGCCTTTTAATTATTACAGATAAAAAAAAATATATATTTGTCATTTAATATCTGGTGATTTGGCAACTTTATTACGTCATTGAGTATTACGAAAAAATAAAAAGTAGCAAACCTCCCATGTGCATGATAGTATCGTTTACACACATCCCTCCGCTACTAGTGTTGTCGACAATGTTCGCAACGACATCCTTGCGCGTACTGAACACATACAGCGTCAGCGGCTTCTCTCTACAGTGACCATACAACATACATACAGTAAGAAAAACCACCACCGATCGAGTTATATTATCTATATTTCATTCCAATCCAAACCAGAATGGTGATTAAAAAACAAATTAAACATTTTTTTTGCTTAAATTCCAAAATAATTTCGATATTTTTATCCATCCATTTTATACAATCACAATTTTTACAAAATAACCTAAAAAACGTGAAATAGAGATAATGGCCGCTGTTGTATAGAATTTGGCATTCTCTGTTTGTTGCTGTTTTGGATTGGAACATGTATAAGTAAATATAGGAAAGTTCTTAATAGAATTAGACAGTTTGATATTTTATTGACAAGGTAAACATATAATTATAAATTTAAAAAAAAATGGAAAATATGAAAAAGATTACTTAAAGTTTCATAATCTAAATGTAAGTACCTACATATTATTTACACATATTTGCAGCTTGTCTATAGTACATAATTAATACATACATAATTATTAAGTCTAAGAAATTTACTTAAAATTAACTTATAATAAGACCGTAATTTTTCCACCACCTAAAAATATCCTTCACCGATCATAACAACAAAAATATCAAAACGTACAATCAAAAGTCATCACAATGCGTTAATTAAAGTGATACAAAAAATAATTGGCTTTATCTTTTAAAACCTTCTTTGAATTTAAATAATCAAAGGTTCGTTGTCAATGACTTTTGAATGTTTTTTTTATTTAACTGGCAACCCGCACCGTTTTTCAGCCAAGAGGTGTTTATAATGCATAAAGCCGTGCGGATGATGATCTTTGCCTTACCGCCATAAAACATGATAGTGTCATTGACACAAATGCTGCCAGAACGTGTTTGTTCATTGAACAAAGTTCGCGTATCTGTTTCATTGGTGAACACGTATAATACTAATGGATGTTCCCTGAAATGTATTGAGTAATTGGTCGATATTCGCCTATCACCTTATATTACGTGTCAGTAAATACCCGGTTAGGAAGACCGAAAATATATTCGATGTATTTTGGTTACATTGTTTATTTAATATTAGAATGTATCACAAATTTTGTTTACAATTTGAAGATAATAAATTCAAACTAAAATCCACACTAAAGCGTCAAAAATCCGTGTATTTAAAAGTTGACGGGAAGAAATTTATAACAGTATTATATTGTTTAATCATTAAATATAATTTCTCATATTAAAGTGTGTGGCCATTTAAGAACTGTGAGTGTGTACGGTGACAGACATTAATGTTGAAAAGCCATATTTTTATTTCATCGTTGTCTGTTACAAGCGATGTCAACCAAGCGTTTAAAAATTGCCTCAAGGGACCGCGTCATATAAGCGGACACTTATTTAAATTGGTCAATATCTTTTGGACCCACACTGTATAGTAGCATATAATATTCAATAATCGAAAAAATTACCAAAAAGTTTTTATTGCTGTAATTTTTTTTAATCTACATGCAATTATGATATTTATATTAATTTAAATGTGGTTGTATTTAATTTAGATAACCTCAAAATTAACAAATCGATTTATGTTTTTTAGTGTTTACCACTGTTCAGTTCTGGGCCCAAATTCCAAATAAATGAAATTGCCTCCATTGCAATTGTAAATGAATTCCATCTCTATTATTCCCGCGTGTACCAAATGCTTTACTGTAAGTGCATGTTCACACTATCGTTTTATTATAGCATGAAAAATTCAAGTGTGAACAGACTCTTAAACCGGTACCGACATCAATAAAATCACACGTTAATACCCAATACTCAAAAATAGACGTTAAAAAATCACAACACACAAAAATCACTCAACATTAAATATTAAAAAAAAATCGTAGGTATCCATTGTAAAAATACCTACACAAAAACATGTTTTCCCGTAATGTTGGCAAAACCACAGATAACATGTTTATAATTATTTCTAAAGTTATCTATGGTTTATGTGTAAAGGTATTTTGTCAATGGATAACAGACATTTTGTGACATCGGTTGAGTAAAAATGGACTTATGGACCATGGCCATCCTACTTTTACTATAAAAAAACAATGAAAGTATTCAATAAATATTTATATGTCATTGGAAAAAACCATTCGCCAAACAAAATAAAAAACGTACATTGGACAAACAATAAACATTGGAACGAAGGACTGACGTATGCTCATTTGATGTCTATTTTTTTTAATAAAATTCAAAACGTGTTGTGTATGTTAAATTAAAAAAAAACTCACCTGGCATTAATAAATTTAATAGCCTCATAGGCGTTCTCTACGGGTACAATAGGTAAAATTGGACCAAATATTTCGTCCTCCATTATTTTATCTGTACCCTTCACATTGGTCAATATTGTAGGCTCAATGAACCTCTCTATCGGGTCGGTATGACCGCCAATTGCAATTTTATCTTTACTCGCATCTATTAAAGCTTGAAGACGGCTGTGAATAAAAAAAAAGTGTTTTACCTTTATTTGACATTACGTGCTCACAATACAATGCCATATAAATAAACAAATAAAATTATGTTCATTTAAAGCAGAAATATTTTTTTTCGCATCTCAAAATACGTACTAAAATTGCATTGCGATCGAAAAAAAAAATTAAATAACGAAATACGCGAAAAAAAATCTTTTAACAAACATCAAGTAGTTATCAATCAGTAACAGTCTTTTGAGTGTCATTAACACAGTCTCTACAAACCAAGGAATCACCTAAAAAAGTGTTCCTATAAGGGTCCGTTTTCTGCCTATGAGGTACAGAACCTTAATAAATCAATGTATTTTTAACTATTTATTTTCAGTAAATACTTCACTATATTATCTGTCAGACGAATTAACTTGCGTTTCTGACTCCAAAATCTCTGTAAAACATACCATCATCTCTGTCCTTTATCTTTGTCAAAACAGAGATAGCAATATGTTTTAAACGGGGATGTAGGGCTCAGGAACCCACGGTTAGTAACATGAGTATTTATAAATCATATCCTAATCGAATTTAATAATTATAAAATTACCTGAAATGCCTGCTATTAATAATTCTGCATAGATCCGGAGATTTCTGTGGGTCCTCCCCGTACCACTCCTTGAGGACACCCCTTGCTGCGTTCACGAACTTCTCCTGCACCTCCTTGGAGCACAGGATGTAGTCAGGCGCGATACATGTCTGACCCGAGTTAATGAACTTGCCCCACAGAACTCTTTTGGCCGTCACTTCAATGTCCACTGTACCGTCTATGTAAGTTGGGCTACAAATGATAACTAAAGATTAGTATAGAAGTTTTCAGATATCTTGGCGGCTCTTAACTTTACGAGAGTCGCTATGCCGAACACAAATTTAAGCGTAGCGGGGCGTAGTGGATTGCGGGGGGAGGGGACTGCGCACTCACCAATGACCTTGGGCCGTCAAAATGTTTGAAAACAACTATAATTAATTTGACAAGGCCGACATCTCGCACTTTAAAGTCAAGCAGTGTAGGGTAGAAGAGGTCAGAATGGTACGGTCAAGGAACTATATTTACTTCCCACTTTTTACCTTTAATTTAGCTGCTAGTCTTAAATGACATTCATCGTAATGGGCAGGAAATAAAAGTCTTCAACTGTACTCAACAAAATTAAGGATCTTACCTCTTACCACCCAACTCCAGGGTAACAGGCGTAAGATGTTTGGTGGCGGCGGAGTACACGATCTTGCCCACGTTAGTTCCGCCAGTGTAGAAGATGTAATCGAATTTCTGCTGCAATAACTCTGTGGTCTCTTCAGGTCCTCCCTCTACTACTATTACCGCGTCCTAAAGTGAAAAAAAAACACATTCTAAAATATTTTTTTTAGATATGCCAAACGTGACAGTTGTTAGCGGATGTTCTTACAACTTACATAAACCGCAAAAACTTATCAAACTTTACGAACAAGAAAAAAAAAGAAAAGAAAAAAGAAATTAGCATATTCACTTATCGAAACGCAAAAAATCATACATACATTTTTCTTGGTACAGTATTGATTTAAAAATACTAATATTTACTTTGCTACCATTAAATAACAAAACTTCTGTAAAAATAAATTTCCATATTCTTGAATGACTTACATTATCTAGATACTTAGGAAGCATTTCAGCCACAAACTGCGCGCAGGCCTCAGCTAGCTCGCTGGGCTTCACAACGACTACGTTCCCGGCGGCGATAGCACCAGCCATCGGCAGGAGTAGCAACTGAAGAGGGTAATTCCACGCGCCAATCACCAGAGCCACGCCGTACGGCTCATTGTAGATCACCACATCGTCCAACATGTTCACGAAGCCCTTGGACGGCTGGAAATGTTGATATTCAGTATACACGAAGTTTGTTTACGACGAATTGCAAAAATTGTACAGCAAAAACCATAACTTCTGTCTACCAGTTATTACTACTTTTTACTACCTTTTTTTAAAGGCATAATTGTATGAAAGAAGTCTACAGGCGATAGCGTTACTCTAGACACGATAGCAAAGTTATAAATAATTAGCCGTTGTTAGCGACTCCGTCCGCTCACCATTAAAGAAATCATTAGACTATGTTCTACATCTATGCCAAATTTCAATGAGATCTAGCAGCCGTTCTGGATATACTCTCTAACAAGCACCTATCCATAAGGCCAAACTTTCGCATTTATAATATTAGTAAAATTTATAATTACACGTTCCGGCTCGGCCCATTTGTCCAAATTGTTAAGCGTGTTCTTTAAATCGTTGATCAGGTATTCAGTCTCCAGCAGCACGGCCTCCATTTTGCATCGCCTCAGATCTTTGGCTAATGCTGCAACCATCGCATTCTGATTCTCAGTGTACATACGCATTAGGTTCTGCAGCTGTTGGCGACGCCATTCTATAGGCCTTGTCACACCACGGTTGAAAGTATCGTGCGCTTTCGCCACGACCTGGAAAGGAATCGTTCTTAATAACTACATGAAGCATGCGTTTTGTTCTAGAGGAATAAAGAGAGTTAATGTTGCTCTTGCGTTATGACCATGTATTATGTTGTCAAAAAAAATATAATAATTAAAAAAGTTCATCCGTTCGGGAGCTATGATGCCACAGGTAGACACACACATAGACACCTCAAACTTAAAACACCCTGTTTTTTCGTCAGCGGTTAAAAAATAACATTCATTTTTTTTATAAAGAATGAAACGAACTCTTCCTGCATTTTTACATGTTGTTCCTTTTTAGTATTAAATGAATATATGGCTATCTAAATAGAAATCTTTATTGTTTGCGGAATAGTATCTCATAAATTTCGCTAAAGATAAAATTTTAACAGTCTTATGAAAAGCTTTTCTTTGATCTTTTACGTCGATCCGTAATTTCTCTATCTTTACAAAAACGGTAATGTTTTGTCAAGAAATACTTCAACAACATATGTTTATTGGTCAATAATTACAAAAGATAAGGAATATAACAATTATTAATGGTTATTTTATTATTAGCTCTGTTATCTGGTAGTATACAATATTATTGCATTGTTATTTTTCATTTTACGATCGTATGTTAAACTTTTTATTTAAATTTTAATTTTAATTTCCCACGACTCTGTCCGCGTTTTAAAAAAAACACTTAGTAGTCTATGTGTTAGCCTTGGAGCCATGCAGCCGTACTGGAGATACCTTCTAAGAAGAAACATCCATCTATGTAAAATTTCGCAATTATAATATCGGTATAATACAAGGCTTAAATCTTGGGAATACTAAAGTTATAGAAATTTCGTAAATGATGTTAATTTTAAAACTGAAAAACCGTTATAATGATTATCACTATTGTTAGGTTTATGGTACATTTATATATGTTTAGTACTGGCAACTTTGTGTAACTGTGTTCGCTGTTTGAAAAGATGTCATGGCGTGTGTGTAAGAAAATAAAGATGATTAAACAATAAGAAAAGTGTGTTTTAACATGGTAGCAGAGTTTTTTTTTAACATGGTAGCAGAGCGTGGTTATACAAATTGTTTACGAAGAAATGTCTAATATTTGCTGCATTGCATTAAGTATAAAAATGGCGTTTATGAAAAACAACGAAATGTTGATTCCTATGTTTGATGGCACGGATTATGTAAAATGGAAAATTCGGTTGCTAAAGTTTTTAGAATTCAAGAAATGTAAAGATGTCGTCACAAGAACGAAATCAGAAAAAGATGCTACTGCAAAATGGCAAGAAATGGATATTATGGCTACCAATTATATTTACAGCGCAATTACGAATAACCAGCTAGAATATATATGTGATTTGGATTCTGCATTCGAAATAATTACGAAGTTTGACGGAATGTATTTAAAGAAGTCAACGGCATTGCAAATATTATATAGAAATAAACTTGAGAATGTGAAACTTAATAATTATGCAGATGTAAACATTTTCTTCGATAATTTTGAGAAATGTATAAACGAATTGAAACAAGCTGGTGCAAATGTAATTGAAAATGAAAAATTGAGTTATATGTTAGTCATTACCAGAAAAATATAGTTACATTGGAGACCTTATAGATATTTTACCGGAAACAGAGAGAAATGTTGATTAAGTGAAAAATAAGATTAAAATGAAAAGCTTAGAATCTAATCCTGATATGACAGAGGCAGCATGTGAAGCTCCCCAGGATAAGTCAAATGCTTTTAAAGTTGAAGCTAAAAAGTCATCACCAACCCAGAGTTTCCAGACAAGAATATGTTTTGGTTGTGGTAAAAGAGGCCATGTTAAGAAGGATTGTTGGTATAACGTAAGTCATGGACATGGACATAATATATTTCAACACGGTAGCAGAGTTTTTTTCTTTAACATGGTAGCAGAGCGTGGTTACAATACATTTCAACAAGGTAGAGGGAAATATAATTCCAGAAGTTTCCGAGGTGGTCGTGGAAACTACCAGGCTTATCAACAAAGGTCAGAAAATAAAAATGAATATACAAGAAATTTCCATACAGCTATTGTTATTAATATGTCAACTGTGAGTAAAAACAATGTTAATAAAGGTGAGATAAATTGGTTGCTTGACAGTGGATGCACTGATCATATAATAAATAGCGATGAGTATTTTGATAATTTTATAACATTGAAAACGCCAATAATGGTAAAAGTTGGTAATGGAAATCTATTAGAAGCGACAAAAGTTGGAAATATTACTGCTTATTTTCCTGTATATAACAAGAAAGAAAAGGTAATAATAAATGATGTATTCTATGTGAAAGATATGAAAGCAAATTTATTGAGCTATGGAAAAATAACAGAAAATAATAATATTATTTCAAAAGGATATTTAACAAAGATTTATACCAAAAATGGATCATTAATAGGAATTGCTAAAAAGGATGGAGGTTTATACAAAATGACAAGTTTTGTACAAAGAAATAAAATACAAGCAAATATTACTAAAAGTACATTGACAATGAAAGAGAAAATACATAGAACATTGGGACATGTGAATTTTAAATATTTAAACATAATGTGTAAAGATGAGTTGCTTGATGGATTACCTAAAGAATTGGAATCTGAATATATAAAGTGTGCAATCTGTATTGAAAATAAAATGCATAACTTATCTTTTCATAATAACAGACAACGAGCTAGAGATATACTAGATATTGTTCACACAGATTTGAATGGGCCACATAGCACAACAGGTAATCATGGTGAAAAATACTTTTTGAGTTTCATTGATGACTACAGTAAGTTAGCAAAAATCTATTGCATTCCATCCAAAGAACAGGTGTATGAATGTTTCGTACATTATGTAAATGAAGTGCACAATATAACTGGAAAAATGATAAAAGAACTGAGGTGTGACAATGGAAAAGAATATTTAAATTCAAAGATGTATAAGTTAGCAAGAGATAAAGGTATAATGATAAAACCTTGCCCACCTTATGTGCATGAATTGAATGGTACTGCTGAGAGGTACAATAGAAGTATAATGGATATGGCAAGATGTTTGTTTGCTGAAGCAAAAGTCGATAGAAAGTACTGGCCTGAAATAGTAAAGACGGCTACATATCTGAAAAACAGAACATTGACAAATACTATTGAAAAGAAGACACCTTTTTAAATTTTCTTTAGAAAAAGGCCATCCATGAATTATATGAAAATTTATGGCAGTAAAATTTTTGTGAAAATACCAGAAGAAAAGCTCAAATCAAAATTTGATAAGAAGGCAGAATTAGGAATATTGTTGGGCTACACAGATGTTGGTTATAGAGTTTTGATTGGAGGTAAAGTATTTGTTGCAAGACATGTTGATATTATAGAAGAAGATGTTAATTGTATTGGTCTTGAAAATGATGAAGAACATCAAAATGAAGAAATTAGTAATGAGACAGGGCAAAGTAATTTAGAAGATGAAGAAACAAACGATGATGACAATATAAAGTTGCCCGAAAAGAGTTATGGAGAAAATAGACCAAAGAGAAATATAAAACCTCCAAATCGATTTGATGATGAATTTGGTTACTATTGTATTTTAGTGAATCATTGTGATGCTATGATTCTAGATAACTTTCAGGAGGCGATATCAAGTGATGAGGCCAAGCAGTGGATAAATGCAATGGACAGTGAAATGAATAGTCTTAAAAGTAAACAAATTGTAGATCGGACAAAAATAAATTGTATGATAGATTTAAAATGAAGGATATGGGTAAAGTTTAAAATTATATAGGAATTGAATATGAATATAATAGAGATTGTATTGTAGAATTTATTGGTCTAATAATATAGTTAGTATATATGTGTTAATGTTAATAGTTAAATATATAAATGTAAGGAGGCGTGTTAGGTTTATGGTACATTTATATATGTTTAGTACTGGCAACTTTGTGTAACTGTGTTCGCTGTTTGAAAAGATGTCATGGCGTGTGTGTAAGAAAATAAAGATGATTAAACAATAAGAAAAGTGTGTTTTAACATGGTAGCAGAGTTTTTTTTTAACAACTATAATAATAATGAGAGATAAAAATTTATGGGTTATGCACAAAATGCATTATCAGCGGTAAAGATTTATTGCGAGTGTAAAACTGAAGCCATTACATTAGGTAGACAAAAGACGAATTCCTAATTCGAATGTATTTCTTTTTAAACGTTCCTGACACTGACAGTTGTCAATGTCAAATTAATTACACTAATTAAGATGTCAATTAAAATATCATTTGATCAATATTATTTGAAAATTCTATATGAAAAAATAAAATTATTGAGAAACAATTATTTAGCTATTATGTAAAGGTAAAATAATTTACTTTATTACATTTAATTTGAACAATTTTAATCTATTAAAATTTGTGTTTACAATATCTTTCATAACATAACTTCCTTTTAGGCGTATATTTTTACGCGTCCAATTGAAAACTGTGAAGAAGGAAATGTTCTAATCGTGCATAAATAAGTTTCCTTGTGTTGAATAATTCGTTACTTACGTCAGCCAGATTAACCGGTTTTTGTTTAGAGTTCATAGTTGTTCCTGCAACAAAATAAAAATATTTGATTTATAGATAAAACTAGCTTTTGCCCGTGACTTCATCCGAACGAAATTAAAAAAGAAAGTTGCCTATGTGCTATTTGTTAACGAACCAGCCATCCATCTCAACTTTAGTATTTAATATTACTAGCTGTCGCCCGCTAATCCATCCGCGAGGAGGAAACTTAATTAGTAGCCTGTGTTCTTTCAGGCTATTTTCTACATCTATGCCAAATTTCACCGAGATAACGTGGTACTGGCATAAAAGGAGGGATGTGTGATTGAATTGGCTAAAAAGGAAAAGAGTGAATTCATATAACAGCTGCCAGAGATGTAGGGAAGAGTACATACTATACCAACCCTTCGTAGGAAAACGGCCAAAATGATCTAATAACAGCTAAATTATCTTCAGACAAGGTCATTGAGTAATAAACAGAATAGATAATGATAGATTTTTTCCTTGTAAGGTATTTTATACTTGTTATGTACAAGACGTTTTTTATTACATAGCAATATAAATGACCAAAGTACAATAAATAAAGACTTCTTGAAATAATGAATGTACACAAGCAGGTAAACTGCTTTTATATACAACTAGCTGTCCCCACGACTTCGTCTGCGCGGAATTAAAAAAATAAACCTTAATTAGTAGCCTATGTGTTCTTCCTTGTGTTCTACATCTATGTTAAATGTCAGTAAAATCCCTGCAGCCGTTCTGGAGACACTTTCAAACAAACATGCATCCATCCATCTAAACATTAGCATTTGTAATATTGGTACGATTCATCGTGACGATTAAAACACAGTAACGTATTCCTCTTATCGTGTTACAGTTGCTTCGATTGATTAAAAATATTTTGTAATTAGTGTGCATATCTTTGGACGCATTGATAACCACATACTATATTGGACTTTGAAACCAAAACCGAATATGATTTAGAAAGGTTTTTGACTCAATGAAATGTTTAAAAAAAGGTTTTTCTATATCTTTTTTAGTCATGAATTTATAATAGAAACTAGCTCGACTACGTCCACGCGGAATTTACAAAAAAAATATTAGTAGCCTATGTGTTCTTCCAGACTACGTTCTATCTGTGCCAAATTTCATAAAGATCCGTACGGGCGGTCCAGTACCTTCTAACAAACATCCATCCATTCAAACATTCGCATTTATGATATTAGTAAGATAGTAAGTAGATAGTTTTCCTATTGAAATATCTACCTTTTGAGTTTATTAAGTAGTCACGTACGTTGAAACAGTACATAAATAAGCATAATTAACCCGAACTGACTAAATAAGGAGGAATAAATTACAATGTATACATAAAATTATTGATTTACACTTACAAATTTATTTTTTTGGTGAACAATTGGATTTATGTCCCATCTGTTCACAAGACAGATATGGATAAAAAAAATAATTAAATGAAAAGTGATATAACTTTTAATTTAATTAATTTTCACACATAAACATCTTAAACAACGTTAAGAGAATTGTAAACTAATTAGACTAGTTGTTGTTCGCGACTCCATCCGCGCGTGGTTTAAAAAACTAAATTAGTAACATATGTGTTCTTCCAGACTATGTTCTACAACTGCGCCGTCGACACTCCAGTAGTTTTGCTTCACGTTTTTTGTAGAAAAATGACTGGAATAACAATAACAACAATGACAGTTTGACCCTAAAAGTTTGTTTTCATTGTCGTAGGCACAAAAACATACTTACAGAAAGAAAAATATTTTATTACAAGTGTTTCGGAAGTTAAATATTACGGTACGGTTTTTGCTTAGTATAAAACAGCAGTTGGCGATACGTAACGTGTTAATGAAAATAAACAATCACGCTCAGTTATTCGTAACAAGTTAAACGTAACCTTCAACAACGGAAATGACAATACAAAAAATATTACTTCGATATTAGCATATTTTTATTCCCGTTGTCTTAAGACAAATTGCACTAGCGGAATTATGCTGAAGGGCTTAATTTTTTTTTATATCATAAGGTGGCAAACGAGCGAGCGGCCACTTATAATCGCTAAAATAGCGAAGTGACCGTTGCCCATAGACATACGCAATTGCATATGCGTTGCCTACCTTTAATCGACGGAGGAGAGAATGCACAGAAAGAAAATATTTTCTCTTTCCATGCATCCTCTCAAAATAGTAGCTTACAAGGTCATTGCTACTTTTGAGCAACAATCAAAGTTACTAATCTAGAAAGAAGGTAAAGAAAGGAAGAGTCAAGATGTGATGAGGCTTCTAATATACGTCTTGTTATTGGATTCAAGCGTGGTATTTAGTCTTTGCAGTTTGGCGCATTATTTTACATATAAGAAAGTGACTATAACATTACACGCTTCAAATAAATAAGTCCATAATAGTTACATAACTTACACTGGTAACTAACGCTCGGGTCACTGCCCTATTGCACCTAATGTGCTGCGTAGGTGACAACATTTACCTACAAAGTACCTACTTTTATATTATACTTATATTTCAATATTTTATACAAGCTAAACTAATTCTACAAAGAACTTTGTATTTTGAAGCGCCAATAACCTAATAGCGAGGGTACGCATTTCCGATCAGGTGGTCGAGAATTCGAATCCCGCCATTCGAGTATTGTCGTAAAACCATAACCTAGCACAAGCCTATTTTTTTCCAGAGGAATGCTTTATGCATACTTCGCGCCCCGGGGGGGACGCGGCAGTTATGTCGGATTCTCCTCCATAGCGGAGGCATACCCACTAAACCTCTCTGTTCCTCCAACGCATCGGGACGAGACCACGGGCACGCTTTCGCTCTCGTCCGCGACCAACCTAGCACAAGCCTAGACCTTAGTTGGAATGGTACAAGAAATATTAGTAAATTAATAAAAAATACTCGTATCGTTTAAAAAAAATGACGTCACTATTTAATCAACAATTCGAATCTATCTAAAAATAGTTAGCCTTGTGTGGTAATTAGAAATATGTCATAGTAGTGGTTCTGTTCTGTTTCTTGTTTATGGCTCTCCCTCATCGGATTGGGCCAATGTCAAGTGTTTATGTTAGGAGTGGTTATGTGATGTCATTGAATGCGAGTATAATGTTATTGTGATGTTGCAGTAAATTTAATGCTAGTATGATAAAAATCTAAAATGCAACAAAATATAATTAATCTTTGTATAAAAGAGTTAGTGTAATTACCTTGTCTTGTTAAACATATGATTAATTTCATATTGTGTTTTGTTTATTTTTGCCTTCATAATAATTATTGTAGCCTTGTTAACTTAAAAAGCCGAATATTAAAATTACTTCAAGTATAAATTGCAGGAGAAAAAAACAATTTATATTATTTAATTGCATATTATATACCATGTTTTATAAAACATATATATTTATTTAAATTTATATAAGGACATCTTAATATTTTGTAAAAGATGTTCAAAATTAATGTAGCTCGTATGTACATTATGTGCATTTGTAATATTATAAACAAATAGCTAGATTATGTTAACCTTGATAACAAAAAACAACTGACATTCACAAACACTATGAGGTTGATTAAAAATTTTGTGTGTAATGCATATAATTTAGAGTCCTAGAGACCGCAATATTTTTCATCCTTATAAAGGTTTTTTTCTAGTCAGTCAGTTCACTTATCCATGTAGATAAATAACTTAAACTATACTTTAAAAGCTTAAACTTAAATAGCCCGTGAGTGACTAACCAAAGAATTTTTTATTTTTTAATATTCTAAGTTGCAATTGTAATATTAGAATTAATTATTAAAAATGTACATACTGTATTTTCGATACTGTTATTCCCTTGGGAAGTAAAATGTTAGTAATTTATAACTTTATTTTTCATTTAGTAAGCCATTTAAAAATTTATCTTTATGGTAAAATTTGTTATCACTAATTAAAAACTTCATTTGGAGTATTTAAATGTTATCATTTTATATAGTTTGAATAATTCATTATATTGTTAATTAAGTTTTTAAGTTTAACTTAATTAAATTTCAATTAAATTGATCGGTACTGTGCTATATAATATACAATTTTCATTAAAGCTATTAGGGAACTTCAAAAAACAATTGCAAAGTTGGGAAGACCTATTATTGAAATCTACACATAACCCAAGCCAATAAAATATATAGTAAAAGATTATTCCCATTTGATGATGGTCAATCTTTGCCTTTATCAGTCTACTAATGAAGCTTCATGATGAAACATTTAATTATTTTTGTTCCTATTTCTCATTGTATGCATTATATTACAAAATAGAAAAAAATCTGGTCAGTGTAATGTTGTCTATAGTTAGTAATCTTTTAGTCGTCATATAAGTTTAAAAGGTAATATATAAAGTTCAATAGTTGTTTCATTTATTAGGCATACAAGTTTATGATTATAAAACAAGATCCGTGACTTATAATGTATAGTGATAATAAGACAGTATAGGAATATTCCTATAACACTAAAGGAAATGAATTATATGATGGTTATTACTTACCGATAGATACGACCCAACGTTGATATACAAATACACTAAATTGACACTTGCTAAATAATAAAATTTCTTTTCTGTAACTTTCCTAACACCTGACGTGAACGTGCGCCTTTATTGGAGTGTAATTAAAAAAAAATAAGTTGTAATTAGCGGCAAGCAAATATACGATACGATAGTAGTGGTCTAATAAATATTTTTGATATCACTTAAATATTTTTATTGTATGAAATTGTATCGTAGCTGTGCCATTAAGTTCAGTGAACGAATGATTGTGCAACTTCAAGTATCTGTTTCAAGTTTCGGAGTGTAGTTTAGAATTTTTGTTCTAGATGGCGCACAAATAAAAAAATCGAAAAAAAATTGTTACAAAAAAATAATCGACCTTACTATAAAGAATGATTTTTTTTTGTATTGGACATGTTTTTTATTCCATCAGTGATTTAATAAAAAAAAACATTGAACTGTATCTTATAGTATGTAAATAAGTTCCCTTTGACCTTAATGCAACATTAAAATGATGTGTTTTTTTTTAAATTACTACTTAGAGCGAATACTTGTAGATTTATAAAAAAACGTTGTTTTTTGCCTCTAGATTCACCATAATTCAAACATTATTGGAGGACTTCATTTTTTCCTGCTCTCCATACTTAAATGTGCGTTCCAAAAAAGTAGATTTCAACAATTTGGTTATATATCGATGAAAAAGAACATTGTTTTTCTTTATAGTTATGCGACAAGAGGACGTACTCGTTGACGGGTACAACAGAAAGAACAAAGAAGCGATAATTAGTATGATTAAAATACAATTAAAAACGTTTTAGAAAAAAAGGTTATTTTCTTACTGTGCAGTAAAATCACTCACCTTTGCAATTATCGGGGTCGTGTAAAAACATACATGTGTAATATAATTACGGATAATCATAAACTTTTAATAATAATGATATTTTCACACTAAATGTAGTGGTTTTTTTCCAGACCTATGTGAGAGATTATACGAATAAACTCCGGTAAAGGTTTGGTGAATATCAGTGTCTGAAAGTAGTGAGTGGATCATGGAATAACCAGCAGAACTATCATGAAAGAAAATAAACCTGAGGAAGAAATGTAGCCAGCAACGAGTTCACTGAAACCAGTTAAATTTTTAAAGAAACAAGAAGAGCAGTTTGAGAATCCCAAGAGTTGTGAGTACAATCAAATCTCCGCATAAGGGTTAAGCTTCGGAAATGAGCCGCGAAAACTGAGGTAGTAACCAAATATTTTGGCGAGCATATTGAATATGCCTACAATTTATAGCCGTGTATAGAGAAACAGCGATGAACGAGATCGCGAATAAGGAGTAATGCATACGTAGTTTGTGTTTGTCGTATATATTTATAACGTGACATTGATGTTTTTGTATTGTATTTAGGTTTAAAAACTGGTTATGTTACATTACGACACAGGTTACAATACGCTATTGCATTGTAACCTTACTTTAATCGTTGTAGGTCGTGTTAAATAAATGGACAAACATTTTTATATTCCTATCGCGTTCGAAGATCGTTATGGTGGCAATTGCTCGACAAACATGGTCTACGTGTTGAACTAGCGGAGTATTTTTTTCAAGGTCAGTTGTTTGAGTCTTATAGTATAATTTCACTGCGGTAACTTGCAATAATATTGATTTGGTAGTATTTGTTTTTGTAAAAAAGATATATTTTTAACACAAGTTTTACGATAGTGAAATTCTACGGTTATCAACACTATAAGCACTTCTATGCTAATATAATAAAGAGGAAAGCTTTTTAACATATTAAATTTTGTTATTAATTGCTTAAAAATAACTGCCAATGCAAGATTTCCGGTCTTTAGTTAATTATAATGAGAATACGTTATTTGATTTGATTTTCTTGAAGGCCTAATTTCATGGGCTTTATTTTACTCATTATTTTAATACTAATTAATTACGAAACTAGCTTCTCGAAAAGATATTATAATATCGTCTTTTAAATATGTTAAAGTAAGATTTACAATGAAATGTTTCGAACTACCATTTTGTTTATGATGTCATACAGAAGGAAATTCGCAAAGATTGTAATATAATTAAGTAAAGCAAGAAAAATAAACAATAAAGAATGATAGCATTATTTTTAACGCACTGGTTTAGACAATCAGAGCCCTGTAGATGCAGTTGACAGGAGATTTGTCCTTTTTTAACTGTGTCAAGAATTTCAACTTATTCGCCTGAATTTCAAAATCAATAATAAATGTCGTCGACCTTCTGAATACCGTTTATAAAAGTGTACTTACTTTTTTATATCTTTAAAAGATAATCAATGTAAAATGTATTTATTATTTTTGTTGTTTGGATTCGAAATAAACTTGACATTATTAACCGTTTACAGTTTTATACAACAACGTATCATAATGCTTGAGTAGTAAAAAAATAACTAGAGTTTTATTAAAATAATACTATAAATTTATCGTAAGTGTGCACTTCGATTCTACCCTAGTGTGAAACTGACTGATGGACTGACTTTGGGTTTCGACTGTCATGACACTTGTCACATATTATTGTCAAAGATGTAAATATGTGTGTGATACTGACACTACAACACTTTAATGTTATATTTAACATCTATCAGTTTTAGCTTCATAGTGAGGGACTTGTTTAAAAACATCGATTAAAGTGGATGATTCGATTCGGACTCAAACATATGTGAATCGAATTTAATTGTTTTGAAATACCCATGTTTTTCGTTCGATTTTTTTTGTAACATCTTCCAACATTGTGACGACGTTCCATTGAAATGATAACAATAAATATGTAACTTCAAAATGTTAAATAACATTTGATGCCCGCCGTAATAAGGTTTCGTCGTTCGATTTTGATTAAGTACCAAATGTGTCCTATTAAAATGGCCCTGCTGTATGGATTGAAAACAACGCAGGATTGTGACAGAATAATTAAGCCTAGATAGGCATACGCGTATTGAATTGATACGTCATAATTAGGTGCTTCATAAGCTGGTCGTCGTGTGAGGTACAACATAAGTTTACTGTGGACGGATTCAGAATACAATAATCGTAAAGACGGTAACACGGCTTTTATTCTAAGGAATTACTATGCGTACAGCGTAATTAGATAGTGTTGTTTTTGCAATTGTTTTGAAACCAAACTTTAAATAAGTTTGGTTTGACGGAATAACACGACGGCATATATTAAAACCGATAATATTAGATTCTAAATTATTTGTTTCATAAGTTAACTGGCTGTTGCCCGCGACTCGGTTCTCGCGGCATTATAAAAAAAACTTAATAAGTAGTCTATGTGTTTTTCCAGACTATGTTCTAAATCTATGCCAAATTTCAGCGAGATCCATACAGCCGTTCCATCCAAACATTCGTATTTATAATATATGTAAGAAGTAAGATAATAAAATTCAAAATTATTGTGTTTGTCCTACTTTAGGCAGATCAACGGTTTGAGGTAATTCAAGCTTTTAAAATCTTTAGACTTGCTGATAGGATTTTTTTAGAAGCAGAGCATCAGTCAGTGCCAGTCTATCTCAAACAAGGCTCTCTCGGTTCGTACATGTATAAAACTTAATTAAAGGGATTTTAGTCTCAGAAACCCACGATGTATTGTTTTTAGACGAGTAAAAAATATGTCATCATCGTCAGCTCACTATACGTCCCCACCGAGGGGCTAGGAGCCTACCCTAACTTAAGGGTGATTAGGCCATAGTCAACCACGCTGGTTAAGTGCGGGTTGACTTCACACATATCTTTGAATTTTCTTATCAGATATGTGCAGGTTGCATCACGATGTTTTCCTTGACCGTAAAAACGTCGGATAAATGTACATATGTAAATCGGAAATCGAGAAACACATTGGTACATGGCGGGATTCGAACCCAGGATCTGCAGATTGCAAGTCAAGTGATTGACCCCTGAGCCACCGATGCTCAAAAAATATGTAGTTGTTATTTATTTTAAAGGTTAACCAACTCTAAAACATTGTTCTCAACAACAATGCATCTTTTGGTCTCTGAATTATAATTGAATGGGTTGTTTCATTCGTTTAAGGACCTGTTTAGTTTAATGTATGTGTTAAAATTTATAACTTTGTTCTTACATAAATTTTTCGTTGTGCATATTTTTCTTTGTTTATACATTTGTGACTGTTATGGGCAAGGAAACAACTATTGTAAATAGTCTATTGTCTGCAATGAATCATTACGAAGTGCTTTGTTTTAGGTACTTTTATTTTACATTTTATATTACATTTAATGTAACAAACATATTGATTTTAATTTGAAAAAGGCTAGACGTTGCTGACGACTCCGAGAGCAAGGAATTAAAAAAAAAAACTTAATTAGTAGCCTATGTGTTTATTAATCTATGCCAAACTTCACAGAGAATGCAGTCGTTCCGAAGATACCTTCAAACAAACGTACATCCATCCAAACATTCGTACTATAATATTAGTAAGATAGAGTGACGCAACTAAAGTTAAATAACATAGAACTTGTACTTTTTATGGTTTTTTTCCATTTATAAATCAAATGTAGGTATTTGTAATATAAGATGGGAAATAGAACTGTCACGTAATGTATGATTGAGGGCTGGCAAAGGTTTGTATCTTCTTGTGTAAAATGTACTCTTATAAATACGTTGCTGTCGTTAAAACGTGACTTTCTTTTTATTATTATATGTATAATACCAGATATTTTTTTTATTTTTACGGCGTAACTAAGCAAGTAAATAAACGACATAAACAAAAATATTGTATATATTATATATTACAAGGTTAAATATAATTAAGGGATTTAAAAACATAATACCATTAATAATTTCTCCTTCCACGTCCACTAGTGTCTCGGAATTATTTTGATTTTTTTCACTTTTATCGATATCATCCGAGTTTATTTCAATATCGATAATATGCACATCACTATCCACGGGTACCGTGTGTACGTCCGCGTGCTGTACGGTCGGAGGGTTCATTGCTACTGATCAATGGATTGAATCACAGGCGCTTAGAGTCCACGTTTAAAAAACCTTGTTTCTTTTCATTTCGGAGCGAAGAGTAGAATTCGGCATTTTAAACAAACTAATGCTTAACTTTACAACAATCAATGGAACAAGTTGTTCGTGCAATAATTAGTTAGAAGTCTTAAAAAATAATGCTTAGGCTAACGTAGCTAGTGCTACTATCTGTGTACCACAATAACATTTTACATTGTTAGGATGCAAAAGAAACAAATTAC